TGGGCTCCCCCAGCCTGGGCTCCCCCAGCTCCTGGCCACGGGCAGCTCTCCGGGGAGCACAGGGCTCTCTGTGCCGCTGGAAAACTGGCCATATATGGAAAGGATGGGGATACGTGAGCGGAGCTGAAACAAACCCCCCCATGGGAGCCCTGACCAGGCACCCCCCACATTCAGCCCAGGGCCGTGCCCTCTGCTGAGCCCCCCGGGGATGGGTGGCACCCACCCTGCTAGCCCCAGTGGAAATGGGAGCGAGCCCACTGTGCAACCCTGAGCCACGTCACCCCCTGAGCCATGTCACCCCCAGAGCCCTGTCACCCCATCCTCCCCATAACCACCCCCTTTGCCGTTGTGCCACCCCCCCGTGACACCACCCACTCCCTCTCTGGCACCCAAGCTGCCCGCTGCAAGGGGAGAATCACCCCCACTGGTGCCAGGCACTGGTTTCCAGCCTCACCAGCCACACAGGGCAACGTCCCCGGCAGATGCACTGGCCCCCACACAAGAGGGAACGGCAGGGGCTCGGGCAGGGGTGGCATCAGTGACAGGGCACGCAGAGCCAGGGGATGCTCTCACTGTGTCCCTGCAGTGCTGGTGGCTCTGTGCTCTGGGCTACCAGGGACCGGCCGTCCCTCGGGGGTCTCCATGCCCAGCAGGGAGGTGAAGCACCCCTGGGTGCACCCTTGGGCAGCACCCAAGACCATGTTCCCACACAAACACCCTTTCCAGCCTCTTTTTTCTTTTTCCCCCCCTAATTCATTTCCATCCTGCCCTGCAAAGGGGAAGGTGGCACTTTGGGGGGGTGCTCTGCCTGGCAGCCCCCCCACCCTGATGACACAGAGCTCCCAGGCCCCCCCAGCACCCGTCAGCCCCGGCGCCCTGCTCACCACGCTACCAACCCAGTGATATAAAGGAGGAGGAGGTGTAGGGGAGGGCTGAGAAATTAAGGTTTCCAGCACTGTCAGAGCCACATCAAACAGGCATCCACCAGCTGATTGCTTGATTGTTATATTTTGGATGTCAAACCGGAGCAAGCAGAAACCTTTAAAATGCATCAGTGCCGCTGCCTTTTTGACGGAGGGTGTTGGTTTCCCATTAACAAGTGGAAAGCGTGAGCTGGAGCAGAAAACTTCAAGCGCTTTGGAATTGATAAAATAACAACTCCCTAATTAAGCAGATCTGTCAGTCACCGGGCGCCTGCTGCCCTGCATCGGGAAGCAGCAGCAGCAGCACGAGCCCGGGGTGCCGGCCCAGCTGCTGCGGCACGGGGACCACCGGGGGACACAGAGCCCGGAGCATCCCACCCTCCCCATCAGATAGATCTGGGTCCCGACCCCGGTGCTGAGCGTGGCTGAGGTGTTTAGAAACACAGAATCATAAAATCATAGAATGGTCTAGGTTGGAAGAGACCCTTGGGATCATCGAGTCCAACCATCTCCCCTACTCTACAAAGTCCTCCCCTACACCATATCCCCAAACATCCCATCTAAACGTCCCTTAAACACATCCAGGGACGGTGACTCAACCACCTCCCTGGGCAGCCTATTCCAATGCCCAACGCTGTGTTTAGACGCTGTGCCTCAGTTTACCTCACCTTAAAACCACATCATGCAACCCCACGTGGTGGGGAAGGAGAGGCCTGACCCCAAAATGCACCCTGTGCCCACATCCTTCCCCCCTGCCAAGAGATGACAAACCAGCCTGGAGGGACATATCCCTGACAGACACGCCAGACCCCACGGCCAGGCACGGGCACAGCATCCCCACAGCCAGCTGGATGCGGGATGGGGTCCTGCTGGGAAAGCCCCCCCGCTGCTGGAGCTGGGCAGGGGGGCTTGGAGAAGCAGCCAGCCCCCCACAGGGACGCCGTGCCCTCGGCCGGGCTCCCAGACCTCTGCCATCCCTCTCTCCCCGGTGCGGGGAGGCTGCAAAGGAGCTAATTAAAGGAGCAGCCCATTACTGGAGACCCCCCTCCGACACTGCTGTGCTGGGTAATGAAACGCTTTAAATCTGTGCTGCTTCTCCCAGGCCTGGGGCAGGAGGGACGTGGCATCTCCAGGGGCTCTTTAATAAGCCGCCAGCAGCTCGTTACTACAAAATTGACTGCCCAACGCTCTGGATGCTCCCCCAGCACCGGGAGCTGCCAGCCTGCCCCAGGGGAGCATCCTCGGGGACAACCCAGGGGGTCCAGGGCAGGGGACAGCCAAGGAGGGACAGGGGGCTGTGGGGAAGGTCTTTAACCACTGAGACGCTGGTGTCCAACAAGACCACCAAGCAAAGAGGGTCTTGGCACACCGTTTCTCGCCCCGGGCTCTGCCAGCCCTTGCACCCAGCAGGGGACCAGGCACCGGTGGCATCAGGACAGCCCCCTGGCCACCGTGCAGGCAGGGGGGTTTGCTGGGTGGTCCTCAGCATCCCGAGGGGCTCCGCAACTGGCCAAGCACTGGGCTGGACCGGGAGGTTTAAGCCCCAGTGCCAAGAGGGGTGAAGGGGAGCTGTGGGGAGGGAGTGGGCAGCAGCAGTGCCCACCGGGCAGCCCCACGGCCCACGGGGGAAACGGGCAGAGCCACGGCAGAGCCGCTGCAACCCAGAGATAGGCTGGGAAGGTGAAGAGCATCCCATCCCGGGGTGCACCCCGGCGAGCCCGCTCGAGCAAGTGGCTCCTGCAAATGTCCCTTTGTGCCCAACAGCGGCTGGACCCCGAGCCCGTCCTCCCCCCTGGCACAGCACACACCGGGAAGCCTCCAGGGATGCAGCGCCCTCGAGAAAGCCACCAAACCCCACGCTGGGTGACAGGGCTCCACTGGTATCACCCCAGGCAGCACCGGTAGACAGGCCCAGCACCATCCCTGCTCCCGGGACAGGGACACCGGGAAGGGCGTGGGGGGACAGGGACACCGGGAAGGGCGTGGGGGGCAAGGGACGGGGCTGAAGAGCCCGCGTGGCTCCCACACGCTCCCTGGTGGAGGCTTTGCCAGGAGAAGGGGTTGGCTCACAGGTCCCCTGTGGCCCTGGGACACACCACGGGACTCCCTGGGTGACAGCTGACACGGGGAAACGCCACTGCTGCTCCCCAGGAGGACGCCCTCGAGGGTCGCCTCTGCCAGGGCTGGATGTGGGCCGGCAGCACCGCTGTCACAGCCTGTCCTCACCCCAGGGGCCACCACCGGCCATGGCATGGGCAGGACGGGAAGCCTGTGCCACCTCGCACGCCCGCACGGGCACACCCGCGCGCTGCCACTGTCCCCTCTGCAGGCCCTGCGGCATGCCCAGAGAGGAGACAAGTCACCCCTGCGTCCCACGCGAGCTGGGGGTGGATGAAACCCCAGCACTCGCTTGTGACAAGGACGGGCTGTCTCCAGCCGGGGTCCTTCCCACCCAGGGAGGGCTCGGCTCCACGGCTTTGGCTCCTGTGCCAGCACCGGGCCATACGGGCATCCCCCTTCCCCGCTCCCACCTGGCCACAGGCACATGAACTCACTCACAGCACTGTCCCCTCACCCTCACTCCCCCACACACCAGGGACACCCAGCTGGGGGGTCCCCAAGTGTCCCATACCCCAGTGACACCTTGCTGCCCAGGAATCCCTTCACTCCTCATCCCAGCCCTCCTGCCCACCACTCCAGCGCCCCAAAAAACCTCCCCATCGTGTCCCCAGACCCCATCGGTGTGTGCTACCCCCTGTCCCAACGGGTGCAAGTCCTGGGGAGACCCTTCTCCCTCAGCACATGCCCAAGCCCAGGCAGGTCTCACCCCAGAGGGAGGTCTGATCAGCCTCCTGTGACCTCCGCAGCACTGGGCACCTTCCCCGGGTGACTGCCCACGCCAGGGGGGCCGCCGGCTGCCCCCTGCCCACCCATCACGAGCGAAGCAGGGCAGAGAGGACACCCAGCCTCCGTCGCAGCACCAGCTCCCACAGCCCAGCCCCAAAACAGCCCCGTTTGCAACCAAGAAGGACACCAGGGCAGGCCGGGCCTGGGCCACCTCCGACGGAGCCGGGGCACATCGTGCCAGGACCACAGGCTGGTGTTAGAGCCCCCAAAGCCTCGTTACACACTAATCACACTGGAGGTGACAGGGCTTAGGGGAGGGCTTAAGAGAAACCGTCTCCTTTTTACTGACACCATCTGGACACAGGCGATCTCTGCCCCCTCCCCAGCATGGGGCCCGGCGAGCACCAGCCGGAGGGGCAGGAGCCGGGGTGACCCCCCCAGGACCCGGCACCCTCCGTGCCCTCCCCCGGAGCCGGGATGGCCCATGGGGTGCAGCCCCCGGCCCCGAGCGAGGGAGGGATTGCTCCCTGTGCCAGGCGTTTCCAACAAGCCCACGGTGTGAGCTGGGAGCGGGGCCAGCATGGAGCCGTGGGGACCACGTACCACCCCCAGGAGGGGGATACGGCCCCGGGGAAGGCGAGGGCCAAGACGGGGGAGACACATTGGATAAAAGTGCATATCTTTTTTATCTCAGAACGGGGTAAAAGCCAGCCTGGAGACACCTGTTTGGGGACAGCCCTCCCTCCGGCTGTCCTCCAGGGCATGCCACCGGCACTCAGGGACCCGGCACAGCCGGGGTGCCCACAGGCAGAGCCACGACAGCGGGATTGTCACTCACTGTACCCCAGTGCTCCCAGGTCAAGGGGGGAGAACTGGCTACGGCCACCCCGAGAACTGGCTACGGCCACCCTCACCGCCACCATCCCCCCCTCCCTGAGCTCCCCGGGGCGGATGGCGGCACAGCGCCCCGGCCCCACGCCACCCAGCCCCAGGCCAGCGGGTGAGCCGGGGACAAGACCACCCGCTTCCGACACACAACATTGCAAAGCACTGTCTCTCCCCAAAACTTGACTGAACCCTTCCCACCCCCCAGCCCCAACCACGAGGAAAGCAGGGATCCCCCCAGACCGGGGCAAGCTCCAGCTGCCCAAGGGGAAGCATCCAAGCACCGGGGCAGCTTTCGGGAGCGAGGGGGGAAAGTTGCGTTGGGGGTCAGGGGGGGTCAGGTACCTTCCATCCGGCGGAGCTGTTGCTGTCTCCTTTATCTTTAAAGTAGGGGACGTATCGCACCATCCAGTCGTAGATCTGGGAGAGGGTGAGGCGCTTCTCCGGGGAGCTCTCGATGGCTTTGGTGATGAGGTCGGCGTAGGAGAGGTTGCCCCAGGCGTTCCTCCGGGAGGTCTTGGCCTTGCGGAGCTGCCCGACGTCCGCGCCGGGGGGCGGCAGGGAGGAGGCGGCGGCGGCGGCGGTTCCTCTGCGCTCCACCGGGGCCACCGCGTTCTCGGCTCCC